CCCGCTCGTTCCGAATCGTGCTCCCGCTGAAGTGCTGGCGTCATTATTTCCAGCTCCATGCCACGGCATGGTTTTCGGTCCTTCCAAATAGGCCCCAAAATCTGGAAAATGGCCCCCCGAAAAACCATCGGAAGTGATTACACTTTCGGTGCCGATTCGTTGATTTTTGGGGTCGCAGAAGCCCCCCGCCACATTGGGGCGTCGCCACGCCATGCTATGTCAGGCTCCGCGTCCTCCGAATCTTGCTCACGCTGCAGCGGTGGCCTCATTTCCGCGCTTCCGCTCGTTACAAATCGTGCTCTCGCTGCAGCGCTGACGTCATTATTTCCAGTGCCATGCCACGGCATGGTTTCGGTTCTTCCAAATAGGCCCCAACATGTAGAAGATGCCCCCCCCCCCGAAAAAAAACAATCGGAAGTGATTACACATTCGGTGTCGATTCGTTGGGGTTGCAGAAGCCCCCCCCACACTTTGGGTTGTCATCACGCAATGTTTTGTCATGCTACGCGTTGATCTTCAACATCTTGCTATGCCATGTAATGCTACGCCATGCTACGACATCCGATTGTGCGAATATGGAAGAGATCTACGCCATGGTAAGGGATGGGAGGGAGGAGTAGAACGTCAGATATGACGCGAGCGCACCTAGCTTGTCCTCCTCTCCCTCCCTCCTCCTCCTCTCTTGTGACATCAGACCAACTAGAGGCGGCAGCCTGAAGCGTGCAATCCCTCCTCCTCCTCCTCCTCCCGCTACTTCTCCTCCCGCTCCTCCTCCCGCTCCTCCTCCTCCCGCGCCTCCTCCTCCAGCTCCTCCCCTCCGTCGCGCCAGGCGCAGAAGCTGTCTGGACCTGGCCGGTGCGACGCATCGCCCACCAACCACCCACCCGCACAGTGGGCGGGAGCAGGAAGGGCCGAGGGCGGGGTGTTGCGAGGGACTCTGGATATGTGTGCGCCAGCAATTCCATGGCAGGGGGGGGGGGGGGGGCGCATCTGCTTCGCAACGAGGGAGGGCGCGTGACGGATGCCCCACCCACGAGCACACCCCACCCTCCCACGCTGAAGAGCTCTTCTGGCGACGTGGGGGTGGGAATAATGTGAGCGAGCTTACGCGGTGGCTTACGCGGGCCGCCAGCGCAGAACGGTACTTTGGAGACGAGGGCGATTACGCGCGACCTTACGCGGGCAGCTTACGCGCCAATGTCGGCGCAGACGACCCCGTTTTTGCGTCGCTCATATGTTGGACCCGCGTGTTGGTCACGGAGAATTGGCCATGCCACCTTGGCAAGCGGGGAGATGGCTTGGCGGGGGGGGCGGACTTCCGAGGCTGCACCAGTGGCTCCCCATGGAGAAGCTGGCGCCAGCGCGCGATGGCGGCGCGGCCCGATGGCAACGAGTGCGCACCCGTCACGGCCACGGCAACACGGGCCGAAATGAAAGCCACCACCTTACTTGGCATCGCTACCGTGACCGGAGAAACCAACAACGGAATTCGCACTCTCTCTCGGAGGTCCGAGCGGATTGCCCGGTCAACGCTGGACACCCCTCCCTGGCGCGCGCAGCGCGATGAAGGCGGCGCTGGAGGCGCCGCCTGGGGGGCCCACCTCCGATACAAGGCATCCGCGTGGAGCTCAGAGAAATCATGTCTATGCTCCTTCGTATTATTCGATACGCTGGATCACGGATCCAACGCAGACAAACGTGTCATTTCCGCGTGTCCGCCTCTGCTCGCGCGCGGAACGCCGTCATGCCTCAGGACGCGCACGAGAGCGCGACGCGAACCCGCAGCCTGGGGAACGGGACCACGAGGACACCTCATCGCACGCACCGCCCTCGGTGCACAATGCCATGCTGATAAAACAACTTGCCTGCGATACTGTGACGTGATGGGTTCGCGTGCTGCCGCGAATGACGAAACACGAGCAACAATGATGTGGCTCCCTAGAGAGGGCTCGAGTAAAGCATACCTACCCGGCGAGCTCAAGCGAGGCACGCGCGCGGACCCGGGGGGGGGGCCCAGGAAACGCATCGAAATAAGATGAGGGGCCGTGAAGTCCGGGGAGATCTGCTGGCCCGTCCATGCCGTTCCCCCTCCCCCCCCTCGTGGTCGGCAGCCCCTTCCCGTGGACGCCCTCAGACGATCGGGCTCCAGATCGCGCCGCACCGCTGACGCATCGGCGACGCGGCTCGATCCTCCTACCCCACCTCTTCTGGCCCAACACCTCGGCGCCCTGGGGTGAGCACTGCAACCCACTGAGGAGAGCGGGGAGGGCTGACCGCCACGCTTTCCCATGTCGGATGGGCACCCCTATGGAAGAAGGATCACCGCGGCGCGCCTCCTGCCACAAATACTTCACGACATCCTTGGCTCTTCTGGTCCTCCCGCACCCGTCCATGCTTGCAGCAAGGGTTGTCCGACCTCGTCGAAACGAAATCGAGATGCGCTTTAGCTCGTGGCTCATTCCTCAACCAATTCTGGCCGGAACTCGGTCCAAACGAACGCGTAAGCTGCGATGCGGAGAATCAAGTCCAACGCGATTGACGCACGGTCAGAACACATCCGTCAACCGCAAGCAAAGAACCAGCAGACGATGCTGAAGCAGGCACGGTTCTGGGCAACGTGCTCCTCGACCCTGCTGTTTAAAATCCGCTCTCCTCAATGCCACTCTGACACAGTGCTGCCGCGATGGTTTGGATACGCATGGCTAGGGACTGTAGGAGACCGCGGCGATACGCAAGGCCACGCGGTTCTGTGCCACCACTTGTGGAGGTCTTCGCAGCACCTAGATCCCAGAATGCAGGCCTCGGAAGAAAGTAGCGAACACTCATGCCAAATTCATGTCGAAGCCCCTCCTCATGATCAATCTTGGCGGTGGGTTAAATGACTTGTTCGACCGAAGTCTTCCCCGCGCGTGCCAAATTTGAACTTCGGGGAGAAAGAGAGTGTCGACCAATTGTTTCCCTCTACCGTATGCGCCGCCGCCTGCCGCCTGTAGGAGCTCTGTAGTCTCCTGGCCGATCCCTTTCGCGCAAGCGCCCCCGACGCGAATTCCCCCTTCCACGCCCCCAGCCAGAACCACAGTCAAGCCGCATAACAAGGATGCGACGTAAGGACGCAAGGGCCTTGGATGGCCATCGTGACGCTTTTCGAACGAGGCTGGCAAGCTAACGTCTCCAATGAGGGGCCGAAGGGGCCAGGATGCAAACGGGCAGCCTTGGAATTGCTCATCCTCACTATGTGACTTGACTGTACTTCCCGCAGAACAGCCCAATACTGCACCAAGACGGCCCAAGTGTGACCGACCGCTGGCCCCAAAGGGCCGAACGAGCCGACAGAGGGCCCAAGCTGTTTTCGCAAGCTGCTTCTCAAAGGGCCCCGACAAATTCGCAGCAGACGCCTAAGGAAGCATCCCGTGACGTACCCCGCGAGGCATCCCGCGAGGCCCACAGAACTGAACACGTGGGGAGGCCGATGTTTTTGCCTCCGATGCGCCTCCTCCGCTCCAGGTCGCCTCGGCAGAGCTCCAGAGAGTCCCAGGTGGCCCTAGCAGCTGGCTGGGCTGGAGCCACGAGGGCCCCCCAGTACGGCCCGTTAGTCCACTGAAAACGGCCCAAGGCCGCCCCGAAGAGAATCCAAGTCGACCACGACGTCCCCAGGATGGTTCAACCAAGCCTCTTCGAGAGGACTCGGTACAGAGTCATCACGCAACATACGGCCCCAAGACCTCCGGCGGACCAGACAAGACTTTCAAAGGCCCCAAAGAGCCCAGCGAGCACCCAGGAGCCTGGGGTATGCCTTCGCGAGGGGGGGGGTCAGGAGGAACAACGAGAAGAACGATGCTGCGGACAAGGATGGGGCTCCTCGTAGATGGGCTCCGAGTAGATGGGGTCGGAGGATTGCACAGAGTCGCCATACATCGGCGATGCATCGGCGACGTCGGCGTAAAGAACTCGGATTCCACATCGAGCCGCATCGCCGATGCAACGGCGATGCGGCGCGATCAGCCCAATCTACTCGGATCCCATCTGGGAAGCCTAGAGGGCCTGAGACCTGCGCCACTTCAGACAGGGCCCTGACTGAACAGGAGCAGGTCGCAGAATCAACCTCCCCAGCTGCTGCACTGGATGTTAGAATTATCGTTTGTTGCCTGGGACACTATTTAATGTTTTCCAAGGCCACCACCACCACCCCTCGCAGCGACCGTGTTCCGAAAATCGCCCCCCCCCCCCCCCGTCCGCCCCCCCCGAAATTGCTCCTCAGACGGCTTCCAAGGCAGTCAAGATGACACCAAGACGGCCTCAGACAGCTCAAGAGGCTCGCAAGGCGGCCTCAACACAGCTCAACAGGCCCTCAAGAAACCGAAGAGGAGACCAAAGCCATTTATTTTCCTCAGGTTGTTGATAAATGTTACCCCTCTCGCCTGTTGAGGTTTCCGACCGCCAATGACGGCCCAAGAGGCTTTCACGAGGCCTCCACGATAGCCCCAAGACAGCCCAGGATGCCCCCCAAGGGACCCAAGACCGCCCGAGGGGCTCCCAACATGGCCCTGAGGCGCTCCAAGATGGCACCAAGCTGGCCCAGAGAGGCCCACAAGACAGCTTCCGAAGGCGTCAGATGGGCCAAGAGTTTCCTAAGACTGCCCTAGAAGTCCCAACAGCCCCAAGAGGTTCCCAAGGGGCCCCAGGAAGCACCCAAGAGGCCCTCAAGCCCACAGGAGGCCCCAAAAGGGCCTTAAGACGCCTTCTATTCCTCGCCCTAAGTTTCTCCCTCTCCTCATCCATCCCATTTTCCTGAACAGAACTCCTCCCTGTCGCACCCCGAGACGTGTCGGTAGGGCGGGCCGGGCGTTTCGCCAGAGACTTCCTCACCATTTATGCTGAAACTTAAAACTTGCAATAATTTCTAAGGTCGAGGGCGGGTGATTTTCAAATTGTGGCTCTCGCCTTAGGGCCGCACCCATTCGTCTTAAATAGCTGCAAAGTTGTCACAAGTGACGGTTGGATGGTTTTCACAAGATGGTTCCCGTATTAATACCGCACAAATTTGTCTTCAACCTTTGCAGCGGTTTCACGGGTGGAGGGCTGATCGTTTCAAAAATGTGGCTCTCGCGTTGGCGCCGCGCACATTCGTGTGAATAGATTGCAAGAATTTCGCGGAAATTAGGGCGGCTCCTTTTTGCAAAATGTGGCTCTCGCCGTAACGCCGCTCACATCCGTCTTAACAGTCCGCAGCAGTGTCAAAGGTTCTTATGATAGACGGCCCAGAAATTGTGTTTTGGCACCATGTAGGATTGTCAGGGCGCATCAAGCCCGTTGATACGCAAAGGCGAAATCCTTGGAATGGTGTTCTGGCACGGTTCGGGATCGTCAGGACGCAGCAGGAACGAAGATTCGCGGCGCTGACACATCAGAAATTTTGTTTTGGCGCGATCGGGGATTATCTGACGGTCACCTTCCAACGGGGCACTTCCCTAAGTGAATGTAAATCCCTGTAAGGACCTATTGAGGGCGACCTTGGAGAGAGAGAGTTTCTTGCAACATCGTTGATGCGGATTGGTTTACACTGGTCCTCCTCCTCCTCCCTACCACGCGGACGAAGACGATGTCGAGATCACGACCTCACCCAGTTCAGACCACTTGCTGAAATGCCGCGGGGTGAATTCGACCTCCTTCCTACCGCGCGGGCGAAGGCGAAGTCGAGTCCACGACCAGTCCTGATCAGACCTCTCGTCGGAATATCGCAGTTCCTACGCTCAGCCTCCTTCTTGCTGCGCTTCTGCACAGGCACGGTGTCGAGGTTTGCCGCAGGCAGCTGGGTATGACGAAAAGGAGGAGGAGGAGGAGATCTTCCTCTTCGTCTTGCTATGGCTCAAGGGCCCATCCGCCTTGGGGGGCACTGGGCTTCCGAAACTCGGCACGAGCACGAGGGACTTCGGTCAAGAAATGTTGCGCACGGTGTCGCCCCGGCGGCCCCGTCCCCGGCCCCGGCAATGGAGTGCCGCTCCGCTCCGCGGGGCGGGAAGTCAAAAACAAAACTCAAGACGTTGACGCCTGGGGACCGGGGAATGGATAGCGAGTCGCGCCGAAGCGACTCACTGTTCAAGCGTTCCACCGTAGGTCGACCATCTCAAGTCCGGGTTTCGGGCTTGCCTCCTCCTGTCCTCATCCTCCGCCTCCTCCTCCTCCGCGCGCTCCCGCTCGTAGAACCCCGCGGGCCCTCCCTTCCCGGATTGACGCTCTCCTGCGAGGCGCCCCGTATATACTCACGCGGCGAAGGATGCCGAGCAAAAGACCGCGCCCTGGACTGCCCCGCTCCACACATCAAAACGCCACTATATGGCGACGCTTCTTTCTGCAACGTGTCCCGCCCTCCGCGTGGGAAACGTGCGGTCACTTTCCCGTCTGGAGTGCAGAGCGATCGGGCATCAGGGGGCCGGCCCACCCCTGCAGATCGAGGTGGAGGAAGAAGAAGAAGAAGAAGGATAATAATAAGAAGAAGACTACGAAGACGAATAATACTAAAAAGAAGAAGAGACGGAGGAAAAGAGGAGGGCAATAAGCCCATTCCGCTGGCGGCTCACAGCCGCGCAGCTCGAAACAAAATACGCCCCTGGTCCAGGATGACAGACTCGTGGTGCACCCCAAAGACTCTAACAGCATTCATGTGGCGAGGCCCGCCCAACAACCAAAAGTGCCATCTCAAGGCACACGAGAAACGGGGGAAGCGGATCGTAAGCACATCGCTGAAGCATCCCCGAAAGCATCTGGCGGGACAGGCCTGTTCTCGATTCCAGACGCGATTTCCTCAACAACAGTTCTAGGAATCCGGGCCTCCAGAGGTCTCCCGCGAGGTCCCCCGAGGCCTCCGGAGGCAGCGCAGGAGCCCGAAGCATCCTCCTGCTCCTCCTCCTCCTCTTCCTATCTCCGTCCTCTTCATCACAGTCATCATCACCATCATCAGGCAGCAGAGCGACCTCTGGGGCACAGGCGGACAACCGAGGGTGCAAGCCAGGATGCAGGCACCCCGGGAGCGGTTCCACCCCACCCACCCCTCTTCGGCTGAGCGCGGCCCTCGACCTGCTGCTCCGCCTCTGGGTCAAGGTTGGCGAGGTAGCCTCCCCTCGCATGTCGTTGCGCTGCCTCTTGTCTCTCGTCCTCCTCATCCTCCTTGATATCGGGGATGGAAGTTTTGGCTTGCTTGAACGTGTTTGGCCCTTGTACTCCTCGGGTCCACCAACTGCCCTCTCGGCACCGCTCCGCGTAACGACTCTGCCCGTGCCCAGGTATGGCGCCAGCGTCCTCGTTGGCTGAGCCATCTGGGGGTTCAACGAGCGGCCTGCGGCACGAGACTCAAGGAGCTTCACTGGCCACGCGTACTGTCGAAACGTGGTCACTCGAATGAAGGACAAAAACATGAGCACCTTCGCCGAGGGCCCAGATCACCGTGAAGATACCCCAACTGAAGAACATTCCAAGATCAGAACCACAAACATGAAGAACAGGAGGAACCCCTCCAAAACTAAGGTTGGTGTCAACGCTCGTGCCAGCTGCACTCGCACGTAGTAGAGATGCATCAAATGACAGACAGGCGTGTGGGGGATACTCCACGGCCCTGTAGGCCCTGTCCACAACCCGATCAGCCCTGAACTGATACATTCACATAGCTGTACCCTGATAAACATACCCACACACATCTTGTATACATAGCTCAGCCGTCGAGCCTCCTTGGCGCTCTCCATCGCGTCCAAGATGGCTTTCAAGACGACCGAAGCAGGCAACCGAGGCCGCCACGATGGTCGAAGATGCCCCCAAGTCGGCTCAGGATGGCCCTAGGGCGGCCCAAGAATCTTGGGCCGCCCTAGGGCCATCCTGAGCCGTCAAGACGCCCTGAGCGGCCCCAAGACTGACGGCCGAAGAGCGTCACAAGAGAACCCTCCACTGGGCCCAGAAGGGCCAAACTCATTGCTTGCTCATCGTGGTTGCCGGATGGTGGCATTCTCGCCTTTTCGGGACTATGTCGGCTAAGACTGGCTCAAGAAGCCGCAACGACATCCCACGGAGACGTGGCTCTCTCCTCGTTCCCAATCTTCCGGCGGCTCGAAGAAACCCCGGCCGCACCCTTTTTGTGTAACTGTCCGGTGATATAACCGAATTTCAAGCTCCCGGGATAAAACAAAAAAACACTACCCGTGATAAAAAGAAACGGTCTGCGGGGGAGGGAAAGAATGGTCAAGAGTTCGGGAGCCGGCACGTTGAAAAAAACAAGCACGGGAGAAATGGGTCTTAATTATCCTCCTTCTCCTCCTCATGCTCGGCGACAGTGGCGGCGGAGGCGGAGCGAGAGATTGCGGCAACAACATGATGAGGTCTGGCGACGCGGCAAGCGAAGACCACCGTCTGGACACTCAGGGCAACATGCACTCGGGTACGCACTGACCCGGGTCAATGCAAACCGGGGGTCAATCGAGCTTTGCAAAATTCTCCAGGATCCTGCAAGATCCTGCGCGCTAACCCGGGTCAGTCAACTCCTGGCTCTGCAGGATACTGCAAGATCTGGCGCTCTGGCTGGCCCGCGTTTGCATTGACCCCCGTCTCCAGGCTCCCGGCGCACCCTTCGCCGCCCCCCTCCGGTCCAGGAGCCCAGCTCCACACCTTGTTGATGCCGTTGACGAGGCCCAGCGCTGGCGCCATGGCCTCCTGCCAGCGCGCCCTCCCGCTCCCCTGGGGGGCAACGATGAGGGGGGACTGGCGTAAGAGGGGTGACATCGAGCTGCCCTTGCCTGCCAGCTTCTTATCTGAAGCCCTCTCAGCTCTCAGAGAGCTATCCTGGCGCCTCTGTGGCAACGCATGGGAGCCTCCCACACCATCTTGCGATGCGACGCTAACTGGCACGAGGTGACGCTAATCGATGCCAACCGACGCTCAGATCGGCGATACTCGACGCCAAATCGACGCTTTCTCTTCGACTACCAGACGCTGGCGCGCACGCAAATACACCCGAGAGAAAGAACTTGCGAGGACAAACAGGGCTCCCGAGAGTGGCTGCCGAAGCATACGCCATGACATGCCAGGGCCCAGAATCGCGTATCATTCGTTGTTGATGCGCCACGCCAAATCTATTGGCGAATTGACCTTTTTCTGCTCTCGAGTATAGGCTGCTATCTGTTGCGGGCCTGCGCCGGCCCGATGTGGAAGTGTGCGAGGTGCAAGGCCGCTGGTAGGTTCGTGTGGCGTTGGCGCGCGCAGAAGTTTTTGACAATGCGCCGATCGTTCAACATTGAACCGATCGCGGCCCCGATCGTTGAAGGTAGAATTCCGTCGGGTCCTGTGGCGTTGCCGTGCCCCTCGGTGCTTCCGCGTCGTGCTACCATGCGGAGCTGAACCTTGAACGCCTTCGCTGGCGTCGACATCGCCACATGAACCTGCCTTGCGTGTCGAGGTGTCTGTGCCATTAGTCGATCAGGCGGTGGTCTTCTGGAAATTAGATGGGACCCAGGATGGCCCTCCTGGCCAGTGAACGGTGGCGTGGATGTGGGCGCCTCCCGCGCACTGGGACCCCGACGGGCAAGCGCAAGCCGGCGCCGAATCCCGGCCTGGCACGCACGGGCCCTGCAGGGCCACAGTGTGAGCTCGGTGCTGGTCGACCGGGGCGCGGAGTCGTGGCCCCTCCGCGGAGGGGATGCGCATCGTCAAGCCGATCCCGATCTCGGGCCAGCCTCCGTGGGGATGGCATCCGTGGACCTCCGCAACCGTATCATCAGCGTGAGGTCGACCGGATTTCGTGCAGATTTCGAGCACCCCGTGTCACCCGTTCGTCCAAATTTCGTGAAACATTTCGTTCAGATGTCGATCAAATCCAACGAAATGCCCCAAAGCGTGAGGAATTTGAGGTTCTCTGAGCTCTGAGGCTTCATGAAGACCACACAGCCCATCGCCACCGGGGTGGCCTGGGCCCCATTGGCCAGTTTACCCCCCAAGATGGGGATATTAAGCTGTTCCCTTCGAGTTTCGAGGGGCTCATCCCTAACTGGGGCGGCGGGATGGTGGGGATCAGGATGGGGATGGGGATCAGTGAAACGATACTGAAGGGACACCCTTCCGCGGGATAGGGGGCATCAAGAGCAACGGGCGCCGACTCGACGGCGGAAAGGACCAGGATCATGGGAGGGCAACGGACGCCCTTCCCATCTAAATCCACCTGTAAGACGCTGCTTGACTACCACAGAGAAGATCAAATCCGCCGACCCCTTGGGGTTCATCGGCGCGTGAGAGGTTCCCCCCTCCTCAAACCCCTCCCCCCGGAGCCTGGTCCGGTCGATTTCGGAGGGCCCCAAAACAGGTCTAGAGGGCCCCAAGAAGTCCTTGGGGCGGTCCACGAGGGCTACGCATCGCCGAGAGATCGATCCCAAACACCCATGCTGGCCTCCCGAAAGCCCAAAAGGCCCTCAAGACGCCCCAAGAAACCCCCAAGAGGCGCCCCGAGAGTGCCTCCAAAAGCAAAAATTGTCCCATTCCCTGGGGAATACTTGCGTTTTTGGCACATTCGCTTCTTGAGCGTTCAGAACGTCCCAAACGGCCCGAGAGGCCGTGAAGATCGCCCCAAGACGGGCCAAGAGGTCCCCAAGAGGGCTCCAAAACGACCCAAAAGGGCCCCAAGACAACCAAAAAAAAACCCAAGACGGCCAAGGAGGGCCCCAAAACAGCCCAAAGAGGGGGCCCAGCGGGGGAACCCGGACGGATATTTCGATTTTCCACCCCAAGACGCCTCCGGGTTGCCCCGAAGAGCTCCCAACAGGCCCCCAGGGAGCCCCAAGATGGCCGCAACAAACCCCCAGAGGCCCCCAGGAGGCCCTCAAGAGGTTCAAACAACGGCCTCCAAGACGCCCCCGAGACGCCTCCCATGAAACCCCATCAGCCATCCGATCGGCCTCAGACCCGCAACCCAAGCACGATGACGGGATGTTCCGAAAGCCATTCGATAATCAGCCCGGGGGTGTTTTAACAGGTGCCCTCCGTGTGTACACGTGGGTTATCGCCCGTTTCCCCACCCGTTCCCGTTACCTTGTGACGTACCCAAACAATTCGCATCAAGTGACAAGGGAAGCTGGCTCAAACTTGCCAGGACAATGACAGCGCAGGCGCCGTCATAAGTTGTGCAAGCTACATGGGATGCACTCACGTGGCACGATTCACAAGACAACAACAGAAGCACAAGGAGCGAGCGCCCAGGCTTGAGGAGGACATGGGGACGAGAACGAAGGGCAGGAGAAGGACGCGCGGGTGGCCGAATCTTCAGCGCGGCAGCAGCCGAGGGAAGGCTGCAGGGAGCAAAGAACCACGACGATAGTGACGGGAGGAGACCGAAGAGAGTTGCTTTGTGTCGGCGGTGCGCTAAAGAGTCAGCGCTGCCTGCGCCATGTCGCCCCAGCGCTCGAACAAATAATCACACCTGATTGTAGCTAGTGCAAGAGCCGCGCAGGCGCCGCCGCGGCAGCACGTGCCGGACCTCCTCCCCCCGTTCTTCCTCCTCCTCCTCCACCTCACTTTCCCTGTCCTCCTCTTCCGCCTCCTCCTCTTCCTCCTCCTCCTCCACCTTTCCTCCTCCGCCGCCTCTGGACCCCTCAAAACGGCGAGGTCTCATCTGAATCTGAATTCGCCGGCCCAACGGGCCAAAGGCGTGCTAAGATCTCCGGTAACTGCTAAACAATACTTCTACTTCGCGCGCGCGGGGCGGCCCCTGGGGGTCCCCGGACGAAAAGTACCCCGGGCGATCCCCGGCAGGGTCGGGTCAGAGATGGTTTTCCTCCTGGGCGCCGCCCCCGTGGCCCTCCAGAGAGCCCCAAGAAGGGCCACGAGGCCGCCAAGAGCCCTCCAAGATGGTTCAAGAGTGCTCCGAGATGCCACACGATCGTTCCAAGACGGCGAAGATGGCCCCCAGACGCCCCAAGAGGCCTCCAAGAGCACTCCCCAGAGTGCCCCAAGAGGCAAAATTCATTACTTTTCCCTAGGTTTTGGCCAAAGTTTGGCGTGTCCATCTGTTCGGCTTCCCGACGCCCCAAGACGGCCCAAGAGGCCCCCAAGATCGCCCCAAGAGGGCCCAAGAAGGTCCCAAGAAGGCCCCAAGATGGCCCAAGAAGGCTCCAAGACGGCCCCAGAGGCATCCAAGACGGCCCAAGAGGGGGCTCAGAGGGGTCCCAGAGGGCCCCAAGCGATGCCCCAAAGGGGGAACACAAAACAAAACTTCGAGCCCTCGGTCTTAAGAAGCCCCCAGGAGGCCTCAAGAGGCCCCTGAGAGGCCCCAAAAGCCCCCAAGAGGCCCTCAGGAGGCCCCCAAGCGACGCTGAAGAGGCCCCCCAGCGGCCCCAAGAGGCTCAGTCATGCGAAATGGGCCGGCGGAGTGAGCGAAGCGATTCAATAATACGTCGCTCTGCTGGGCCCACCAGCGACCATCGAAAGTGGCGACAACTTCGCAGATCGCAGCCCCACAGGCATAGCGAGGTCTCCTGGTGGTCTGGGTAAGACGTCACTCTGCTGGACCCCCAACAGCCCTCGAAAGCGGTACAGCTTCGCAGATCGCAGCCCCATAGGGATGGCGAGTGAGCGTCCCTCCGGCGCCCGCGGGCGTGGAGAGGCCGCGATGGCTTCGGGTGCCAGGGAAACGGGCGCTGCACCTTCCTGCTTGGGATACGTGGGATCGCGGCGGCGGGGCCCAGCCAAGAGTCAGCAATGGGGTATCAAATGCATGAGGCTCTGCGACGTGTCTTGCGGCGGCAAGTCCGGAGTGGTTCGCAGATCCAGGAACACTCGGGGCGATATGAGCGGGCAACCAGCAAGCTACGGGGGGATCAGCAGTCCATCAGCTCAGCCGCCCGGTTGGTGCCGGCCCAAGGGCCCACCGCACGCAGACTGCATCGTGCATGTCACACACGTTGTGTTGAGAATTTGGGTATGGTCAATATTGTTACAGCAAACGTGCAAGGCATGAGTCATGTCAGAACCGATTATCGTCTGAAGTGGGCCGGTATTGTTGATGAGGCCTGGGCGCGGGATTGGGATATCACGGTTTTATCAGAGATGCACGCTCCAGATGACAATTGTGATTGTATTGTCCGTGTGGAGGAATGCACTGTCGTGATTGTTCGGAGTGCTGCCATCATGCTCAGCCCGGCGGTCGCCAAGCAGTGGTGGGGCCAGTACGTGGCGCCCGCATTTTCGCCATCAGGCAGAGCTGTCGCCTTACACATCACTATTGGTGGTCGGAAGAATGCGTTCGTCTCTGCGCGCGCTCCGCACGCCGAGCGGTCCGCGTCCGAACGGGAGGCGTTCCGCGACGAGCTGACGACCCTTCTTGCTGCAATCCCTGTGGGCACGGCTCGTACTGCGGGGGGCGACTGGAATGCTTCCATTCATGCCAATATGGCTGCGCGGCTCGGTGGCGGGGCTCGCCTGCTGCCCGGGAGCACGTCGGCGCACGCTCAAGACGTCCTGGGGTGCTTGAGCGACAATGGTCTGATCCATCTGGACTCGCACCTGGCTACCAGGCACCGCGCGACTTTCCGCTTCCCTCAGCAGACGATGGCCGCGAACCGATGGAGGGAATACGACTACTTCGCCACGGACATGCCGTGCTCGGCCGGCCTCTGGTGCCAGCCGCGGACAGGGGCCCTGCCTTTCGGGGACCACTTCTTCAAGAGGGCCCGTCTCCAGGTGCCGGCGGCGCCTGGGGCCAAGGAGCGCCGCGTTGCAAGAGGCCCCCCGGGCACTGTCAAGTCTGGCTTCGGTGACGGAGCTCGACATGTGGGCCCCATTCGGCGCGAGTGGATGCAGGGCCCATCCGCCGCAGCCACCGCGCTGAGGGAGCAGTGCTCAGCGGCGGCCGACGCTGCACTCGACGCCTGGGGCGCGCCAGAGGAGGAGATTGCCTGGGATGACCTTGCTGCGGTGCTCAAAGCCTCCGCCGTGGGCGTCGTCGGCCGCTCCGCGGGCGTCGAGACAGAATGCGCGTTTGTCGCCCAGCTGCGCGCCATTGGTCGTCAGAATGCTGCTCAGCGGCGGCTGGCCACTGGGACGCCGTGCGCCGTGCCCGGGGCAAGCCCGGCGAGGAGGCCGCAGTGGCCGCTCACCGCGAGACTCGCAAGAGGCATCGGCTTGAGCACCGACAGGCCAGGGCGCGACTCGTCACGGAGGTAGCGGCCGACTTGGCCCGGGCAGCAGCCGACAACGACACAGGTGCACTGTGCCGAGGCCTCCGCCGCCTGGGCGCGTGGCTGAGTGACTTGGCCCCCACGGAGGCCCCGCCGTTCACTCCCAAGAATGCTCGTGACCACTTCCTGAAGCTGGACGGAGCTGCTCCGACGGTGGGCGCTGCTGCGCTGGACGCGGTCCCGCCGCGCGTCTGGCGCGACGCCCTCCCGCCACGCATGTCCGACCTTGCGGAGCCCCCCCCGGCTGACGAGGTACGCGCCGCCATTCGTGCGATGCGGGATTCTGCTCCTGGTGACGACGAGATCAGCATCGGCATGGCCCGGGCCGCCAGCGCCAAAGTCCAGGAGCAGGTCATCCGCCTGGTGCAGCAGATGCGGGTTGCCCCGCTAACCGCCTGGCGAGACCGCTTCGGCGAGACGCCCTTCCGGGGGCTGCAGATACTGCTGTTCAAGAATACGGGGCTGCGGATGGACCTGAACAACTGCAGAGGCATCTGCCTCCTGTCGGTGCCGTCGCGGATACTGGCGAAGACGGCGGCCACCCACCTGGCCCGTTGAGCAGAAGAGGCGGGCGTTCACTCCAACACCCAGTGGGGGAACCGCAAGTATCGGCCCACCCGCGACGCCATTTTGGTGGCAAGGGCGACATTGGAGGAGGTGACCAGACTGCCCCGGGCGCGTGGCGAGGACGCGCTGTGCTTGATTATGTTTGACATCGTGGTCCCCGGCGCGGTTTCCGCAGGGCGGCCCACGTGCGCGAGCACATGCTGGTCCGCGCAAGACGTCACCCCGCTGGACCCACCAGCAGCCCTCGAAAGTGGCGACAATTTCGCAGATCGCAGCCCCACAAGGATGGCGAGGTCTCGTGATGGTCTGCGTAAGACGTCACTCCGCTGCACCCCCCAGCAGCCCTCGGAAGTATGTACAGCTGGGCAGATCGCAGCCCCCCCCCAGGGATGGCGAGGTCTCCTGGTGGTCTGTGTAAGACGTCACTTCGCTGGACCTTCCAGCAGCCCTCGAAACTGGCGACAACCTCGCAGATCGCAGCCCCCCACCCCCCCGGGATGGACAGGTCTCATGTTGGTCTGGGTAAGACGTCACTCCGCTGGACCACCCAGCAGCCCTCGAAAGTGGAGACAGCTTTCCGCAGATTGCAGCCACGCAGGGATGGCGAGGTCTCCTGGTGGTCTGCGTAAGACGTTACTCCACTGGATCCCCCAGCAGCCCTCGAAAGTGGCGAGCAGTTTCGCAGATTGCAGCCCCACAGGGACGGCGAGGTCTCCTGGTGGTAAGCGTAAGACGTCACTCCGCTGGACCCCCCAGCAGCCCTCGAAAGCGGCGACAGCTTCGCAGATCGCAGCCCCCAAAAAAGATGCGAAGTCCATGTTAGGTCTGCGTAAGACGGCACTCCGCTGAACCCCCCAGCAGCCCTCGAAAGTGGCGACAGCTTCGCAGATCGCAACCCCATAGTGATGGCAAGGTCTCCTGCTGGTCCGCGTAAGACGTCACTCCGATGACCCCCCAGCAGCCCTCGAAATTGGCTACAGCTTCATATATTGCAGCCCCGCAGGGATGGCGAGGTCTCCTGGTTGTCTGCGTAAGACGTCACTCCGCTGAACCACCCAGCAGCCCTCGGAGATGGATACAGCTTCGCAGATCGCAGCCCCCCCCTCCCGGGATGGCGAGGTCTCCTGGTGGTCTGCGTAAGACGTTACTCCGCTGGACCCCCCAGCAGCCCTCGAAAGCGGCGACAGCTTCGCAGATTGCAGCCCCACAGAGATGGCAAGCAGGTGGTCTGGGTAAGTCGTCACTCCGCTGGACTCCCAGCAGCCCTCGAAAATGGTGACAGCTTCGCAGATTGCAGCCCCACAGGGATGGCAAGGTCGCCTGCTGGTCCGCGTAAGACGTCACTCCGCTGGACCCCCCGGCAGCCCATCGAAAGTGGCGACAGCTTCGCAGATCGCAGCCTCACAGAGATGGCGAGTTCTCCTGGTGGTCTGCGTAAGACGGCACTCCGCTGGACCCCCCAGCAGCCCTCGGAAGTGGCGACAGTTTCGCAGATCGCAGCCCCCCAACGATTGCCAGGTCTCATGGTGGTCTGGGTAAGACATCACTCCGTTGGAACCCCCCAGCAGCCATCGAAAGTGGCGACGGTTTCGCAGATCGCAGCTCCCCATGGATGGCCATGTAGGAGGCAAGCTGGCACGCAGGAAGGAGCGAGGTGAGAGGCAGGAGAGAAGAGGAGAGGAGAAAGGGGGCGGGAGAAGGAGAAGACGCCTGGGCAGCATTGTACTTACAAACAAATGCCCCATGCAGGAGGGTCGGGAAAAACTGCCTCCAAGACGCCCCCGAGACGCCTCCCATGAGACCCCATCAGCCATCCGAATGGCCTCAGACCCGAAACCCAAACACGGTGGCGGGATGTGCCGAAAGCCATTCAATAATCATGCGTCGGGTGTTTTGACAGATGCCCTCCGTCTGTATACGCGGGTTCTCGCCCCATTCCCCATGCGTGCACGGCGAATGCTGAGAATGTCAGCCCAAGAGGCCCTCCAAAGGCCCCCATGAAGCCCCAAAGAGCCCCAAGAACCCCCCCAAAGGCGCACAACAGGCTCTCAAGAGCAACGCACAACAACCGCCAATTCCCCAAGGGGTCGGCGGTGTGGCTGAAGCCCAAGAGTGAAGCACGAGGCAAACGTTCTGAATCGCGAGCGTGCCGCACGTTTGGGATGACATAATCTGCAAAGACAATCGGTTTCACACACAGGTGGCCTACCATTCCTACTGACTGACGTTGGACTGATAAGAACGAGCTCAGCGTGATCATATGTATGTGAGAAAGGTGCAACATGTATGAGCGACAACTTGACTGAGCTCAGGCAGTACGTGCTCATGTTGACTCGGCTTGTACTGCTGCGCGGAAGCGCACTGTGAACCCATGAAACTACCAAATTCAGATCTACCCTCGAATTGGCGGCCAACCAACGCAACTTTGCAGCTCGTACCAAGATACATAAGTTGCCGACATGCGGATGCCAACTACCCCCGTGGCGCTCTCATCTAGCGATGGCCGACGTTGTGACCGTGAACCACGCATACTTACCGTCTCCGTGAACATTGCCATGACTCATGCGCTCTTGTGCAGACCGCCCGTCCAGACTGTTCTTGTCAAACTTCAGCAGCTTAGGCTCTGGTACCTCGCGTATGTAGTTCACCTGAGATGCAGTCTTGAAAGTATGAGCAAATTTCCGATCTGACAAATTCTGTCTTGAAAATGGGATTATCGGACCTATTGCAAT